TTGTTCAGTTCAGTTCAGTTGCTCAGTCATGTCTGACTCTTTGTGATCCCATGGGCTGCAGCATGCCAGGTTTCCCTGTCCATCACCAACTCCTGGAGCTTGTTCAAACTCATGTCCACCAAGTTGGTGATGCTATCCAACCATCTCATCCTCTGTCATCCCCTTCTCCTCCTGCTTTCACTCTTTTCCAGAATCAGGGTCTTTTCCAGGGAGTCAGTTCTTCACATCAGGTAGCCAAAGTACTGGAGTTTCAGCTTCAGCATCAGTCCTTCCAATGAAAATTCAGGACTGATTTCCTTTAGGATAGACTGGTTGGATCACCTTGCAGTCCAAAGGACTCTCAAGAGTCTTCTCCAACACCACAGTTCAAAAGCATCGATTCTTCAGCACTCAGCTTTCTTTATAGTCCAACTCTCACATCCACACATGATTATTGGAAAAACCATAGCCGTGACTAGATAGACCTTTGTTGGCAAAGTAATGTTTCTGCTTTTTAATATGCTGTCTAGGTTGGTCATAGCTTTTCTTCCAAGAAGCAAGCATCTTTTAATTTCATGGCTGCAGTTACCATCAGAAGTGATTTTGGAGCCCCCCCCAAATAAAGTCTGTCACTGTTTACACTGTTACCCATCTATTTGCCATGAGGTGATGGGACTGGATGCCATAATCTACCCAGCTCTTTCACTCTCCTCTTTTACTTCATCAAGAGACCCTTTAGTTCTTCTTTGTTTTCTGCCATAAGGGTGGTGTCATCTGCATATCTGAGGTTATTGATATTTCTCCCAGTGATCTTGATTCCAGCTTCTGCTTCCTCCAGCCCGGCATTTCTCGTGATGTACTCTGCATATAAGTTAAATAAGCAGGGTGACAATATACAGCCTTGATGCACTCCTTTTCCTATTTGGAACCAGTCTGTTGTTCCATGTCCAGTTCTAACTGTTGCTTCTTGACCTGCATACAGGTTTCTCAGGAGGCAGGTAAGGTGGTCTGGTTTTCGCATCTCTTGAAGAATTTTCCAGTTTGTTGTGATCTACACAGTCAAAGGCTTTGGCGTAATCAATAAAGCAGATGTTTTTCTGGAATTCTCTTGCTTTTTTGATGATCCAACCTACTTGTTGGCCATGTATGAATCTTCTTTGGAAGGAAACTCCTGTTTCTGCCTGTATCCTGAACAGTTAACTGCAGCATTAAGAGGAGAGCTGACCCCTCCATTGGCTGATTCCTGTTGAGTGATCATCTCTCAGGAGGAAGCAGTTGATTGAATGAACCAGACTTCCTGTAGGTGTGGGGGAATATGTAGCATGTTTTCTGAAGCAGCTGGGCTTTAGGACATACAAGATCTAACTCCTAAGACAGTTAACTATAAATATGTACCTGCTAAGTATTTTTATACGCAGGATTCACAAAATTTGAAAGAACTCTAAGTGCCAAAGCTCAATAAGGTGTCTTTCTCCTCTGTCTCCAGTGATCAATCCTTGCTTAGCCCAAGTCTAATCAATAACATGCTTTTATACCCTGGGTTTATTGCAGTTGTGCAAGTAGATCTCTAGGATAAGTACCTAGAAATGGGATTGGTGAGTCCAGGGATAGAAACATTGGCTATACCAATTTACATTTCCACCAGCAAGGGCGGAGATTCCGTTTCCTTGACAACAGTGATCTTCACTAATCAGAAAGGTAAAAATGGTATCTCAGTGTAGTTTTACATTACACTTGTCTTATAAGTGAGATTGACATCTTTTCATGTTTCAGAGCCATTTGATTTCCTTTACTGTGACAGGTCAGTATCTTTTCCTCCATTTTTTAATGAATTTATAGGAACTCTTGATGTGTTACTGAAACTAGCCCTTTCTTGGTGATGAGTTGCAAACATTTTCCCAGTTTGTCATTGATCATTTGATTTTGCTTATTGTGAGTTTTGCCATGTTAACAAAATTTTTTTTTTAGTTAGATTTACCAGTCTTTTATAGTATAGGGGAGTTGTCTCATACTTAGAATGGCTTTTGCACTCCGTTATGATTTTTTAAATTCTCCCATGGTCTCCTCTATGTTTCTTCCCAACCACTGACTAAACTGCCTAAATGCAGGGCTGAAGGGAGCCACTCAAGTTGAGTCTTGTCCAGGACAGGACTCTGAGAATCCGCTAGTACCCTGGCAGGTGCTCTCAAATTGGACAAAAACCCTTCTTTATGGTAAGCAAACCCGTATGCTCTTGCTTTGCTTACTGAGTCTGAAACAAGTGTACAAAGGCCTTTGGCATTTTCTCTTCCTGTTGTTTTGCTAATTAATTATGCAAGGCAAAGAGGAGGTGGACACCTAGTGACCAACTGGACTAGTTGCTCCTGTGACGTGAGCTCTGTTTTGCTGCCTGAGATCAGATTTTCAGCAACTGGGCCAGCCTGAAGGGAGCAATCATTGAAAAGCACAGTCACAGGAAGCCTCCTCAGGACAGACAAGTACAGGCCACTCCATTGCTTACTGGATGCAAGACCTTGAGACAGTCATTAACTGCTCTCACCCTCCGCGTCTTCTTTTGTAATAATGACACCTACCTCCCAGGCCATTAGGAGAATCTAGTAAGATAATGGAGGTAAAGCCTTTAACCCAGGCCTGGCACAGAGTTGATGCTCAACAGCGGGAAGCTTGTTTTTTACTTTTTAAAATTTGGCCATTCCTGGTCTGAGTTGTGGCGCATGGGATCTTTAGTTTTGCCGCACGAACTCTTGGTTTGTGGTGTGTATGCTAAGTCGCTTCAGTCGTTTCCAGCTCTTTGCGACCCTATGGACTGTACGCCAACCAGGCTCCTTGGTCCATGGGATTCTCCAGAAAAGAACACGGGAGTGTGTTGCCATGCCCTCCCCCAGGGGTTTTTCCAGACCTGGGGATCAAACCCAAGTCTCTTACATCTCCTGCATTGGCAGGTGGCTTTTTTACCACTAATGTCACCGGGAAAGCCCTTGGTTGCCACTGGTGGGATCTAGTTCCCTGACCGAAGTTGAACTCTGACCCCCTGTATTAGAAGCACAGAGTCTTAGCGACTGGACCACCAGGGAGGTCCCCAAAGAGAAGCTTTTGTTTTTCCTAAGGCAACAGTCCTGAACTTGGCCTTGAGGGAGCGAGTGTTTGAATAGAAAGTGGAGAGACATTTGTAACTGGAGAGCAGGGTGTTCTGATTGTACCTAGGACGACCTGAGTGACCACACAGAGAGATCCATGCCACTGAAAGAAGTTGTATTACATATCACACTTGCCAAGAGAAACGGCCATGCCATGCCACACAGGGCCATGTTGGGGTAGCACCAGGGTTTGGTCAAGAGGCAGAAGGAGCCAAGGGAAAGTATGGCTCAGAACCTTGATTATGTTTTCTGTGAGAAGGGATGGGTGAAGCAGGGTAGGCAAGTTTAGGACTAGATGATTTGAATGATTTCAGTGAGCTCTGGGCTATAGGAGTTGTCTCTAGTTGTCCAGTACCTGGCTTGCATGATTTAGGGCAGGGGAAATACTGGCTTGGTGTGTGAGTTAGAAGGAGGTAATTGAGGATACGGACTTTTTCATTTGTTTTTGTTTTTGTCACTGCATCACCCAGCACAGGAGATTTTAGTTCCCTGGACCAGGGATCTAACCAGCGCCCCCTGCAGTGGAAGTGTGGAGTCTTAACCACTGGACCCCCAGGGAAGTCCCAGGATGTGGGGTTTTGATTGGTTGATGAAAAGTGTGCTCAAATTGTTTACTATCTCTAGGAATTATCTAGCCCTGTGAGGGGCAGTCTTTTCAGAATTAGCAAGGCCCAGGATGTCAAAGCATTATCTGGCAACTCGCTCCAGTATCCTTGACTGGAAAATTCCATGGACAGAGAGCCTAGCGGGCTACAGTCCATGGGGTGGCAAAGAGTCAGACACAACTGAGTGATTGAGCACACACACACATACACACACACACACAGAATGTCAAAGCATAAAATATAGAAAATTTAAAACATGATTAATAAACACAGCAGGTCTAACATTTAAAGCCCTCCCCAGTCCTGTGTTTTTATGGACTATGTGGTCAGCTGTTGAGTTTCTTGTCCTTAAAGGTATTCAAACAGAGTTAGATGTCCATGTATTGGGGATACTAAAAGAGAGATGCTTGCCGGAAAAACTATTTGAAAGGCTTCTTCTAGGCAACTACTCAAACTGGCTTACACGAAAGTGTTTATTAGTCACTGGGAAGTTCAAGGCTTTCAGGTATAGTTGCATCCAGGAGTACACAAGCTGTCATCAGAAATTTGCCACTCTGTTGCTTAGCTGAAGATTCCTCTGCCTTCACCCTATCTCTTGTTATATAGCAAACTCCATGAGGTGAGAGAATAAAAATTTCCAGATTATTCCAGGGTAAGCCCTGGGACTGGTTCTTTGGGCACAGTTTTTGGGCAGGTGCCCATCCCTGACTCCATCTCTGTAGCCAGGAGGATGGAGCGAAAGTGAAAGTGAAGTCGCTCAGTCGTGTCCGACTCTTTGCGACCCCGCGGATTGTAGCCTACCAGGCTCCTCTGTCCATGGGATTTTCCAGGCAAGAATACTGGAGTGGGTTGCCACTTCCTTCTCCAGGAGATCTTTCCGACCCAGGGATGGAAGCTGGGTCTCTCGCATTGTAGGCAGACACTTTACCGTCTGAGCCACCAGGGAAGGCTTGGAGCAACCCGAGTGGTCAAACCCGTACCCCTACCCCAGTATCGGATCGAGACGGAGCCCCACTCAAAGCACAGAGACTGAGAGAGGGGCCAGGGGAGGCTCCTCCCGGAAAACCGAAGCGCCTTCGGCAAAGGACCGGGAGGCCTGGACGGTGTGTGACCCCAAAGTGACCACAGCGATCTCTGGTTCCTTCCGGCTAGAAATTCCGGCCACCCTCAGCTTGCAGGGCCCGAGTTTCCAGGTCGAGGATGCCAATTTTCGGTCCCCTGGGCAGTCTGTGGGCTGGCTGCTCAGACCTCGCTGACCCTTGCATACCCTCCCGGCCAGGCCCGGGGGATGCTCCAGAACCGCGTGCTGCTGTGGAAGGAACAGTCGGAGGCCAGCCGCAGCCCGTCGCGCGCCCACTCCCCGGGCCTGCTGGGCCCCGTACTGGGGCCGCCCTACCCTTCGGGCCGCCTGACGCCCACCCGCCTGGACATGGTGAGGCCTTGGGCGGCCCTGCCGCCGCCGTTCGCGCCCCCGCCGCCCCCGGCACCCTCCGCGGGACCCTGGGGCCTGAGGCCCGCCGCCTGGAGCCTCCGCCCCCCGAGGGCGCCGGTCTACTCAGCGCCCTTCCGCCGCTCCTTCCGCCCCGGCGTGGCCTCGGCGCCCCCGTGGTGGCTCGGCCGGGGGCCCGAGAACCCCTACGCCGACGCCTGGGACTGGGGGTGGGGGCTGGACTAGGGCTCCGCGGCCCCGCCCCGCCCCGCCGCACCCTCCCCTGCGCGTCTCCCCCTCGCAGCCCCAGAGGCCCCTGGGAGAGTTCGGCTCCCCCCGCAGCCGGCACGGCTCCGGCTCCTACGGCCCCGAGCCAGCCGAGGCGAGGTCCGCGTCCCAGCTGGAGCCAGACCACCGCCGGTCCCTGCCCCGGACGCCGTCCGCCTGTGAGTAGCCCCCGGAGCGCAGAGGGAGGGCCGGGGTCCCAGGCTGGGGCCCCGGGGCCGGGAAGAGGAACCGAGGTTGCGCTGCAGCAGCAGGGATCGAGGGTAGACGCCGGGGAGGACTTCCCACCCACGTGGCGCGGCGCTCTCCCGCCCCTCCGGCAGCCTCGCTCTACAGCAGCAGCACCCAGCGCTCGCGCTCCAACTCCGGCGAGCGCCCGGGCGGCGGGGGCGGCGGCGGTGCCCGGAGAGTCCGCGCTTTGGTCTCGCACTCGGAGGGCGCCAACCACACGCTGCTGCGCTTCTCAGCCGGAGACGTCGTGGAGGTGCTGGTGCCGGAAGCCCAGAACGGCTGGCTCTATGGCAAGCTGGAGGGTTCATCCTCGTGAGTGGGAGCCCCGGGGCGCACGGTGGGTTGGACGGCGGACTGGATGGCCTGGGTTCCAGCTCCGTCTCAGTCTTCCAGGATGGCGGCTGTCCCTGGGGCCTCGGACAGCTCTCGCCTTTTCCCATCCCTCTCCTTGTCCCACCCTATTTTCCTCATCCCTTCTGCCAGAGAAGGAAGAACCTCTTTACTAACCAAGTTCAGGGTGGTGGCCCTTGAGAGGATGGGACAGGATGGGGAAGGGGAAGGTTCTCTCACAATTGAGAACACTACCGAAACCATACTGCTTGGGCACCTACCGTGCCCCTCAAAGTGAGCCAAGCTCTGAGAAGAGACCAGACAGGGAGGTGGGCCAGGTGCAGGGGAGATGCTGGGACCTTGCAAGCTGAGTGTGCTCAGCCCCTTGCAGTCAGGTGCGGGGGAAATCCTTAGAGAACATGAATTGGGGCTGCTTCTGACACCACGCAGTAGAAAAGGGGGAGGCGGGGCAGTACACTGCAGTCTTGCAAGCCTGGAGGAAAGCAGGGACCACTCTTTCTGCCAGAGAAAAGGGGGAAAGTGGGAGCTTGCTGCAGCCACGCAGTGCCCCGCCCCCTCACAGGGCTTTATGGGCAAGACTGTGTGGTGCCCAGGCCCACTCATGCTAAGGAGAGAGGAATGAATGAAGATAAGAAGAGGGGATGAATGAATGGAACATCCACAGAGGAGTCAGCAGGTGCATGTGAGGGTGCTTGCCACGTGGGTTAGTAGATGGTTACTGGATGAGGGTGGTGTGGGCAGGTGGATGCGTGTTCCTATGAGCAGATGGGCAGATGGAAGGGGGCACGGAAAGATGCACAGATGGGGGGGGTACTAATTGGAGAGGTGTGTGAGTGGATTGACAGAGAGGTGGGCAGTGGGCAAGTGCTGATGGATGGGTGAGTGGATTGGCGGTCCTGGGGTGGTTGCCCTCATGGATGAGTGATGCATGGACAGGATGATTGTGTGGATAGATGGGTGGATGGCAGATGACCGCATGGATCAGTAACGGAAGGAGGAGCCAATGGGTAGAGACCTCACCAAGAACACGAGGGGTGGAAAAGACACCTGCTTTGCAGGCCCACGTCAGAGGGCAGCAGGTTCCCATCCTGAAAGTTCCCTAAACAGGTGTGTAGCAAACCTCCTGGGGACCTAATTATAAAACCACCTAGAACAGTATATTAACGCATATATATGGAATTGAGAAAGATGGTAATGATGACCCTATATGTGAGACAGCAAAAGAGACACAGCAAAAGAACAGACTTTTGGACTCTGTGGGATGGGATGATTTGAGAGAATAGCATTGAAACATGTGTATTACCATATGTGAAACAGATCACCAGTCCAAGTTCCGTGCATGAAACAGGAGCACTCAAAGCCGGTGCACTGGGACAACCCTGAGGGATGGGATGGGGAGGGAGATGGGAGGGGGTTCAGGATGGGGACACATGTACACCCATGGCTGATTCATGTCAGTGTATGGCAAAAACCACTACAATACTGTAAAGTATTTAGCTTCCAATTAAAATAAGTTAATTAAAAAAAAATAAAGCCACCTAGATCAGAGGTCCCAAATCACAGTCTTGGGACATCATTATTCTTTCCGTGATTCAGGTTAGGGAAAACAATGGCGGGTTTCATCAGTAGGCATATTATGGTGAAAACAGAAGTAAAACGTTCTGAAAATGGTCTTATTCTGTCAGTTTGAGTTGAAATAGCTTCCAGTTACCTTTAGGTGAGAATGTTGTTGATCAGGTTTTGGGGGGGCGGGCGTCTGTAGTGGCTCTTTGGAGAATACTTTCCCACGTGTTCTGCAAAAATCTGATGGATTCTGTGGAATCTGAAAAGGCTAGGGAACATCGATCATAGTGTCTCTCCTGTGACCCTGGCTGGTCTGAAGGTGCAGTAATGAGCTTCCAATCAAAGACTCCATGGGCAGGGTGCCCGGAGTCACTGGAACCAGGGGGCCCAAGGTGAAGGGTTAGTAGCCAGGCACCCCTGGCTCCGGTGCTCCTTCCTCTGGGCTCCCACAACTGCCTGCGGTCCCCCACCCCAGCCCAGCCCACCCTCTCTCCTGGGCATCACCCTTGTAATCATCTGTTTGTGGATCTGTCTCCCTGCCGGGCTGGGAGCCCCAGGGGAGCAGGGACTGCGTCTGGCTCTCCATGGGCCCTCGTATGTGGGTGCTCAGTGAGTAGGGAATGAAACTGCCACTCCATGTCCTCAGATACAATGCTTTCCTTCTCAGATCTCCAGTTCCCCCTCTCTAAGGCACCCCAGCCCCGGGTAGGATCCATGAGTCTGAACGGGTGGCTTTGAGTGACGGCAAAGACCTCCTTCAAAGGATGAAATGAATTACTCTTGGAGCCAGGCCTGGCACACAGCAGTGCCCAGTAATCGACTCCTCGTAGAAGTGGTATTTTGATCACTGCTGCTAGGCCTTTTGCTTCCACCCCACAGGAGCGGCTGGTTCCCTGAGGCCTATGTGAAGCCTTTGGAAGAGCTGCCCATGAATCCCATGAACCCCTTGAACCCAGTGACCTCCATGAATCCCACAAACCCCTTGAACCTGGTGACCTCCATGAACCCCAGGAGCCCTGTGAATGAGCTGCCTTCTAGGTACCACTAGTCAGAGGTGGGGCAGGGGAAGGGGCTTCAGTGGCCAGGCGGGGTGGGGGGAGTGGCCACACCCACCAGGGAGGGCATCTCTGAGCTGTGGTCCTGAGTGGGCCCAGCCTCCTTTAGCCCCTGGAGAAAGGGCGCCCCCATCTCACTACAGGTTGAAGGTCATGTGTCCATCCCTCTGCCTCCTCTCAGGACTGCCTTCAAGCCAAGAGTCCGCTTTCACCCAGGGGCAGGGGAAGAGGATGTAGGATGCTCAGGGGACCCAGTAGATGGGGTTGGATGCAGCAGGGCCTGAACCCTGGCCCCCTTCTCTTCCCTCCTTTCTCTGGACTCAGGTCCTACCCGCTCCGGGGTAGCCACAGCCTTGATGACCTCTTGGACCGGCCAGGCAACTCCACAGCATCTTCAGACTACTGGGATGGCCAGTCCCGCTCCCGAACCCCAAGCCGGGTCCCGAGCCGCACCCCTAGCCCTGCACCTACACCCTTGCCTGGCAGCCGCCGAAGTAGCATGGGCAGCATGGGGGTGGCCAGTGATGTCAAGGTGGGCCCCCTCCAGCAGCCTGCTCTCAACCCGGGGGTGGTCCAGTGGGCAGGGAGACCAGGTAACCCTCCCTCCCCTGCCCCTGGCTGGCTGGAGGGGACCCTCCCAGCCCAGCCTCAGCCTGCCCATCTGTGCAGGGAGGGACAGAATGGGCTTCTTGAGTCTGGGGTGGAGGGTTGGGGGGGAAGATTCCTCTAGCAGAGGGGAGCCCCAGGGTCCTGATGGGAGCACTGGAAAAGCACCCTCTCTGGAGTGGTGTTAGTCTTGGGAGATGGCACTTGACCCAGAGGCTTCTCAAGTCTAACACCCACAGCATTTTGGGTTTTCAAATGCTTGACCTCATCTCGCAGGAGCTTGGCACTGCAGGGGCATCTCTGGGCCAGTCCTCTGCCCTGCTGGAGTGGGGAGCTGGGTGGGGGGCTCGCTTGCTACTTCCCCACCAAACCCGATCCTCCCTCCCCGTCACTGCAGAAACTCACGTCCTGGGAGCAGCAACCCCCAGAGCTCTTCCCTCGGTGAGTCCCCTGAGCGAGCATCAGAGGAGGCCGGGCTTCGCAGAGGGCTGTGGGGGAGACATGGTGGGCCTGAGTGGAGGTGACCCCATGGGCACAGGAGGTAGGGGCGGATGCCTAGCTCAGATGCCCAGATGCCCCCCTGGATCCCCAGCCAGTTGGGGACCTGGCCCCTCTCACTCCTTCCTCTCCCCACCGCCAGTGGTACGAACCCCTTTGCTACCGTCAAGCTGCGTCCCACCGTCACCAATGACCGCTCAGCACCCCTCATCCGCTGAGGCGCCTTCCTCCACCTGGAGTCTGAGATCGCCCCCGCTACCCACACCTGCCCAGGGGCTGCCCAGAACTGGAGGCAGCGGAAGCAGCAGCAGTGGATCCAAGGAGCTGGGGCCCTGGTACCGGGGGGTGGCTGTCCCTCCCCAAACCATACCCACACTAGGGTCTGGGCCCTTCAAATGAAAGCAGGCAGAATTGGGGGGCAGAACCATTTCTTCCCCTCCAGGGACTCTGGACTCTCCCTGGGGGCCTACCTTGTGCCCCCTCAAACTCTTCCCCCTTCTCTGTCCCAGTGGGGAGAAGCCCCTTGCACACCCCTTATCCCACCCCACGTTTGTAAATGGTGAGAAATCACTTTTGTAAATGGTGAGAAATAAAGCAAGTGCGACATGGCAGCCGGCCTGGCAGCGTCTGATTTAGGGGACAGGCTGGGGCAGGTTGACTGTGATTAACCTAGACAGCATATCAAAAAGCCAAGACATTACTTTGCCAACAAAGGTTTGTCTAGTTAAGGCTATGGTTTTTCCGGCAGTCATGTATGGGTGTGAGAGTTGGACTGTAAAGAAAGCTGAGCACCGAAGAATTGATGCTTTTGAACTGTGTTGTTGGAGAAGGCTGTTGAGATCCAGGAGGCAAGGAGATCCAAGCAATCCATCCTAAAGGAAATCAGTCCTGGGTGTTCATTGGAAGGACTGATGCTGAAGCTGAAACTCCAATACTTTGGCCACCTCATGCAAAGAGCTGACTCCTTGGAAAAGACCCTGATGCTGGAAAGATTGAAGGTGGGAGGAGAAGGGGACGACAGAACATGAGATGGTTGGATGCCACCATCAACTTGATGGACATGAGTTTGAGCAAGCTCTGGGAGTTGGTGATGGACAGGGAAGTCTGGCATGCTGCAGTCCGTGGGGTCGCAGAGTTTACGTGACTGAGTGACTGAAGTGAACTGGGGCAGGTTGGGATGGAGACCTCGCACTGGGAAGTCCAGAAGGTCCTAAAGGTGGTTGGTGGTTACCTGGGAGCCCTCACTCACTCCCAGCCCCTTACATCCCTCCTTTTAAGCAAGTCTTTTGTGCTCAGCCTCAGTCGCTCAGTCCTGTCCGACTTTGCGATCCCATGGACTGTAGCCCACCAGGCTCCTCTGTCTATGGGATTTCCCAGGCAAGAATACTGGAGTGGGTTGCCATTTCCTCCTCCAGGGGATCTTCCCGAACCAGGGATCGAAACTTTCTCCTCCATTGGCAGGCAGATTCTTTACCACTGAGCCACCAGTGAAGCCCAAGCAAGTCTTTAGGTCTGCCCTAACTCCGACAGGCTGCATTCCCCATCTCTACCCAGGCTCATTTCTGCTGTGGGTTCCCCAGAGAGGGAGGGTGGCAGCCGCTGAGGCCTGGGACCACCAGCAAGTCACCTTCCGGCACCCTGGGACACAGCACCCTTTGTTCTGGCCCCTCCCCACCCCCTCAAGTCCCAGGCTATCCAGCCTGGATTAGCCTTATCCTGGGGAAAGCCAAGGAGGCCCCTCCTGGAATGTGGCCTGGGGGTGGGGGGCAGGTGAGGAGTTGAGGTGATGGGGGCTGGCGGGGCCTCTCCAGGGCAGGGCTGCGCCCCTTGTATCACAAGGAGCCCTCAGGGCAGGCCCTGTGTGTCTTCTGCCCGAAGCTCCAGGAGACGGGGGGACCCACCCTGCACGGGCCTGGGACAGGGAGCCCCACCATGGAGGGCAGCCTGGCCCTGTGTGTTGGCTGCTGCCCTGTCCCTCTCCCCTCCCAGCTCCCAGCAGAAAGCCTCTTAGAGGAGGTGGGGGTGGGGGAGCACTAAGCCCCAGGCTTGGGGGAGCGAGCTGCCAGAGTCCAGCCAGTGGACTGATCTGCAGGAAGCCTGGGAGGCAGCCCCCACCTGGCTAGGCTTTCACGGGGGAGCCAGTGGGCTGGCCCCTTCCTGCAGGCCTCAGGAGATGTGAGGCTGGATACCCAAACCCACGGGACAGCTCAGGTAAGAGTGGGGGGAGGGCTGCTGGGACCACCTCTTGTCTTGGTCCTCAAGTGGCTGCACCTGTGGTGAGGGGCTGACGCAGGAAAAGCCAGAACTTGGTCCTAGGGTGGGGAGCAAAGTCCTGGACACCTTGGCATTACCCAAGGTCAGGAGGGAGATCCCAGCACAGTGGGGTTGCAGAAGGGAGGAAACTTCTGCCCCCAGGTTGGGCTGGTCCATCCAGAGCCCCCTCCCGGTCTGTTACAGGGGCACCTGGGGCTGCTGTGTGAACCCTTGGGTGGAGCTCCGGGGTTGTGGAAGGGATGTGGGGCTGCTAAGGGTTTGGAGGGAGAGGATCTTTCTTCCAGTGCCCCCTCAAAGGTTCCCATGTGTCCAGTGGAGCCAGAGATCTGACCACCCCCCACCAACATCCACGGTTGACCTGGGATGATCAGTCACCCATCTTACAGGTGGGAAAACTGAGGCTCAGTCAAGGGGAGGGGACTGACCCAAGTCACAGAGCAAATCCCTGACTAAGCTGGGATGAATTGGAACTCTGCTCCCTTGGCTTCTGAGACAGGCTGGTGTTGTTATAGCATGCTTTGATTCTCCCTCCATGATGTTCTAAGTGACAGTAGACATTCCCGATTACTGAGAATTAAGAACATGCCCCAAGGCCAAGGAGGAAAATGAACTCCACCCATTTTGCAGCTGGCACTTCCACCATGTTAGATCCTTTGTCCTGAGACCCTCACGTGTGCACACTGGGGTCCCCACATGCCTCCAGTCACACACCGGTGGTCGCCCTCTCCCACTCACCTGAACCCCTTCTCCTGACATTGCTAGGTCCTGAGGGACAAGGAGTGCCCTCCGGAGGGAGTCTTCCTGAGGTCAAGACTCAGGTGGGAATGACTCTATTACCCTCCCTTCATCCTTCACATCCCTTGAAGGAGGGGAGGTTTGGGATGAGGTTCTACCTCGGTTTCCGCTCCTGGCTTCATTCCCTGAGCAGGGCTCACGTGGTACTCTGCTGCCTCAGTTTCCCCACCCTGGGTCTCCATCCCCCTTTCATGTCTGGGCTACAGACGCTCGCCACTCCCTCTTGTACCCTCTCTTTCACCAGAGGCGGCAGCGATGGGCGCTAGCGGTCCCCGGCGGGGCCCCGGCCCTCCAGACGGGGGCTGGGGCTGGGCCGTGCTGAGTGCCTGCTTCGTGATCACGGGTTTCGCCTATGGCTTCCCCAAGGCCGTGAGCGTCTTCTTCCGCGCGCTTATGCGCGACTTCGGCGCGGGCTACAGCGACACAGCCTGGGTGTCCTCCATTATGCTGGCCATGCTGTATGGCACAGGTCAGCGCCCCCCTCGCGGACACCTCTCCTCTCCCCCGAGCCCAGGATTGAGGATCAGGATCAGGGACCAGGAGGCATCTGACCCAGACCCCTCGGGGGGAGGGCATGGAAACCCCTGCCTTCCTGTGGAAGCTTTAGCACCAGAGAGGGGAGTATCGGCCCCTGGTGGAGCCCGCCCCCAGGTGGCTGATCTGGCAAGCTTGGCCAGCTGGAAGGGCCCCTCCGTTTCTGTTAAAAGACCCACACCGGCCCATGTTACCGGTGGGGAAACTGAGATCTAAATAAGATTGCCAGTCTCAAAGCCCTAAACACCTGTGCGGGGTGGGGGTGAGAGGGCAGGGGGAGATGCTGGAGTTATCCTAGCCAAGCCGCGTGGATGAAGGAGGTGAGGGGTGGGAGGGGGAAGCCTGGGGAGGAAGGCAGCTCATAAGGGAATGAAGCCCCTTCTATTTCCGTTCCATGTTCTCAGGAGGGCAGGGGACCTGTACAGGCTCCACCTGCTGTGTTCCCCCACAGGGCTCTCTTTGGCGTGTCCCAGCCAAGCTAAATGACTTTGGCCAAGCCCCTGTGCTCTCTGAACGAGGGGCGAGTGACCTCATCCCTTCAAGTCATCTCTCAAGGCTGGGAGGTACAAAGCCTGGAGTGTCTGGACCACAGAGGGGTCCAGCCCGATTGGTGAGCCTGCTCTGCCCACAGGCCCGGTGTCCAGCATCCTCGTGACCCGCTTTGGCTGTCGCCCGGTGATGCTGGTGGGTGGGCTGTTGGCCTCCGCCGGCATGATCCTAGCATCCTTCGCCACGCGCCTCCTGGAGCTATACCTGACAGCTGGGGTGCTCACAGGTGAGGGCGCCCACTGCTCCCCTCCTTGGGGATGGGGTTGTGGGTGGGATCAGGAGACCTTGCCACCAGACCTCCTTGTCCTCAGTTTCCTCATGAGGGCCGGTCCTCGTCCCTCGGCTCAGTTCACCCCATCCCTTGGTCTGTCCACCCTGGGGCGGGAGTGTGTGTTTGGGGGTGCTCGCCCCTGCTTCCCGCTGGGGGCTTGGCTGGGGGCGCCCTCGGAGAGCCCGGCAAAGCACCGCCTCGCCCACAGGCCTGGGTCTGGCCCTCAACTTCCAGCCGTCGCTCATCATGCTGGGGCTGTACTTCGAGCGGCGGCGGCCTCTGGCCAACGGGCTGGCGGCGGCCGGCAGCCCGGTGTTCCTGTCAGCGCTGTCGCCGCTCGGCCAGCAGCTGCTCGAGCACTTCGGCTGGCGCGGCGGCTTCCTGCTGCTCGGCGGCCTGCTGCTGAATTGCTGCGCGTGCGGCGCCGTCATGCGGCCGCCCCCGGGGCCCGGCCCGCGGCCGCGCAGGGACAGCGCGGGAGACGCTCCTGGCGAGGCAGAGGAGGAGGCGCCCTCTAGCGGTCGGACCCGCCGGCGCCTGCTGGACGTGACCGTGTGCGCCGACCGCGCCTTCGCGGTGTACGCCGTCACCAAGTTCCTGATGGCGCTCGGGCTCTTCGTGCCCGCCATCCTGTTGGTGAACTACGCCAAGGACGCGGGCGTGCCCGACTCCGAGGCTGCCTTCCTGCTCTCCATCGTGGGCTTCGTCGACATCGTGGCGCGGCCGGCGTGCGGCGCCCTGGCCGGCCTGGCGCGTCTGCGGCCGCATGTCGCCTACCTCTTCAGCCTGGCCCTG